GTAGTTTCAGAGCGCATGATGCGGAGCCTACATTACACTGTTTCATTGATGACGTGGCGACCAGATTAACCATAGATACAGGCTCCCAAGTGACACTGTTGTCAAATTCACTGGCACACAGATTAGGCATCTTCAAAAGGAAACATAACAGGAGCGAGATACCTTTCCGAAGCATCACCGGACACCGAATCAACACGTATGGTAAAAACAATTTCCTATTTCAAATCGGACCTTTACAATTTTCCTACCCATGTTACATTGTAGACGATGAAATTACACAACCATTTGACGGACTGTTAGGAAGAGACATAATAAAAGACCAGGGGTTAGAAATAACCTTAGCGACAGAAACAATAAAACTCCCCGACGGAAGAGTTTTAAACTTCCAAGACCCTGCCTCACAAAAGGGGACAACGAGACGAATCCAACCGAAAAAGACCCGAACCAATAAAGAAATCGTCGTCAGGGTAGTCCGCGGAAAGAAAAGTATCACAGAGCAACATAACCAGGAAGCGACAGGAGAGAAAAACCTAAGAGATAGAGTCCGAGAAAGTATTGGAGAAAAACCGTCAACTCCGAAATCTCAACGGATGAACAAAAAAACATTGATCAGTCCGAAGGACAAGGAACGAATATCCATCACCCATAACGGAAAGGGACGAAAAATAACAGATGAAAGTGAACCGAAGATAAAGCGTGCATCGACACACGTGGAGACGAAAAATAAACAGAACCACAGTCCACCGAAAGTAGATAGCCGGCGAGAACAACAACCGGAGTCAGATCAACAAACAGTTCGATCGACAGTTCTCCAGACATCCATTAATGTTATAGTCATCATCTTCGCCATGATATTCACCATTTTCTGTATCCCAATTTTTCCGATATTCGCATGCTCCAGAACCTCAACGACATCGCCGAATCCAAGAACGTTAGAGGCAATCTCTACTACAAAAACATATCCACCGCGAAGTCGCATACCAGTAAGAATTTCCTCTCCCACGCATACAAAAAAAGTACGGTTAAAGATTAATCAGGTGAAAGACGATCGCGCCAAAGTGCAAAATAATTAGAAAGTATAACAACCGCTAGGTAGCAAAAGGGTATTGACCTGGCTAAGAAAAAACATTTATATTTACCTTCAACCACGTGTCCGAGTGTTTTATTTTAACCGCGTAACATAAATAAAGAGAGAGAGAGTAACCTAAATTTGTAAACTAAATTTATATAAATAATAACCTGTGTACTTCTATTACCAATATGTAACTTGTACTCATATTACTATTATGTAAATCGAAAAAAAAAAAGAGAGAGAGTAAAAGTCCAACTTATCAATGTTCTTATATCACAATCTAAAATCGAACTTGCACTTTCACGAACAAGCTCGATTTTCAAAAGGCTGGAGTGATGTGAGATAGCAGAATTCTTATATTTGAAATAGTCTTTAATAATAACGTTTTGCGAATTACGCAACAATTGTTGTTCTTAGCTACCTGAGAAAGTCTCCCGTTACATTTTCTCGAAAGCAACATGACGCTTTCTCGTGAACTATTAACCTCTGCACGGCCGAAATCGTCCGTGAATATCATCAGAGACGGCCGACAGGAGTTAGTCGCTGCCTTAGTCCTCGGAGAGGAAAGAAGTCCCTTCAATTATCATCTATTAAGGAATCCGAATTAATCGCCATAGGATAAACTTGTCTGTGTGTGTGTGTGTGTTAGTGCATCGCCTGGATAACGAATCAGAAACCTTAAAAACCCATAGGAAGCTGTTATAATCCGATTCAACAAGACCCGAACGGGACCTATTACCAAAGGTATTTATCATCCCGCGAAGTGTATGTGAACTCTCTCTCTCCGCGACAATCCTTTTTCCAATAGATTTGTAAATAAACCCTTGTTAATTGTTAAGTGTATCTGAGTCACTTCCAATGTTGTCTCTCGAATCGACATTACGAATCCGTCTGACCACGTACGGAACCGCTCGCGTGACGGCGTGACGTAATCGCCGTCTCGGTTTCCGTGTTTCGAGAAACACGGTGGTGTCAATCCTGACAGGGTACCAAAGAGGTGCCGACCCGAAAGGTCACATAACTATTAACCTAATCAAAATAAATGTAATGTTTTTCACATAATTCCATTACATTATTCACTATAGACATTTTATTAAATTATAGAAAGTTTTAAAATAATGCATTATTTTCAAAATTGTAATTGTAAAAACTTAAGTTCTAGGACTATATAAATTGTTAAAAATAATGTCTTATTTCTTTAAATATGAAAGCTTTTTTTCATTCTATGAAAAAACTTTTATATTCTTTAAGGTAGTCTTTAAGTAGGCTATGTTCCTACTTATTCATTTAGAGCTGTTAATTAAAAACATTTTTTTTTTAATTTACTACCACTAATGGTTGTATCACATGGCAATTTAATGACACTTGTAGCTTTAAATTGTCTTTTTTCAACACAAGAAAATTTCAAAATTTGGAGATAAGAAAAACATTGCAGAGTGATGAATCTAGGCTAAGGAAAATAGTTATGTATTCTCATATTTTACTAAAAACTTCTTAGTCTCATTCCATAATCATAGTTGCCAACTGTCAGTGTTTGGCATTCTCTGTCAGTGGACAGGCTGCTTTTCTTTTTCATCAGTGCTTTTATTGTCACATAAACACTTCATTTAACGAGTCTAACACCAATATATATGCCAAAGACATTGTTATGTATTTTATTACAAATGACTAAAATGAACCAGAACAATTTTCAGATTCTTTCAATTGGGAAAGATCCAAGATTAATATTTTTATATATTTATGTCAATTTTAGCTCAAATGTGATAATTTTAAATGGAACATAAGATAAATTGCATCTTCAAATCTGGCCACTTTAACTGCCATCATGTTGGCAGTTAAATCAATTATGGCTGATTCATCAGCAGAAAGAAACAAATTACTTTTACAGTTAGACCAAATTATTGAGCAGCAGTAGTTTCTCTACCCAAAAAGAAGAAATATCTGATTCATCACTTAGGAACATACAGGCTGTATGGCAGGGATAGACAACACGTAGACTGCGGTCGACCGCAAAGGTTTTGAAAATAGCCTGTGAAGCTAAAGTTGAACAATTTTCTTTCACTTAAATTAATGTTTAAAAATCTTAATTTGATAATTTATTCTTACAATAATAGACTGTCTGTGCAACGTACCCATACTGTTTGTATTTATCCCGATGAACAATGCAAATGAATGTTAACGCATGTCCATATAAAAATCCTAAAATTGTTTGCCCATATTCATAGTCGCTCGCAGACTACATTTTACCAAAAAAGTAGCCCCTAAGGATTATACATATTGGGAGGAAACCCAAATATGTATAATCAACCTAGTAAAATCATGGTCGTTAAAAGTGACCAGAATCGTCGCTGTCTCTGAGAGACAAATTTTGTCTCTCATTTTGACGTCATTTGTCCTTGAAAGAAAAGACGAGAGATAAGTGACTAGACTATGCCCCCAGGTGGGTACAAGATATCTTATGAAAACATGTAATTAGGAATAAAGAAGAATTATATTGGAGTCACCAAAAGAGATTTGGAAATTATACTTGAACATCAATATAGTATTAAAAAAAAGGAGGGCCTTGCTATACAGTATTATCCCAGATATCACAAGCTGAAAGCTCTATGGTAAAATGAGATGAGGCAGAGATAGTTAAGACTTTACAATCTCCAACATTAACACTGAATGCTGAAAAAATTAATATATATAAAGAGCAGGTTGAATAATAAATATATTAATGCAAAAGATTGCCATCAGCATGAAAGTGAAAGTTCATTATAAAAAAACAAGCTTCTTTGTAGAAATTCTTAGTTACAACATTTACTAAGATATACTTTGTATTTAAAATTTACAATTCTAGTTATATTTTATTTTACTTCACTTTTATGTTAGAATTTAATGTTAATTTTTTATTTTTATGTTACTATTTATGTTGGAATTATTGGAATGTTATATAGTCAATTCTGCTTAATTGGGACATGTTGGGACTAATCCATTTTGGCCCAATTAAGTGACTGCCCCAATTAAACGAACTAATAATAAATTCTAAAATAAAATATGTAATATGTAGGTAAAAAATAATAATTAGGTACCCATTTTAATGCTTTATTAAACCAAAATACAGAAAATAATTGTACTATAAATTTGCCTGACTCATGATGATAGATAACTGATTCACATCATGCTAGTGTTGCCAAATATTAGTAATGACATACAAAGGGTTCATCTTTCAATCTTTTCTTTTAACCCTTTTTAGTTAGAACATGTCTGGGTTCATCCAAAAGTTACCTTACAGCTTTTCTTTGAGCACAGTTTCCTTTACTTGGAGATGGTTCATTTCAGCAGGAGCATCCATAGAATCCAACAGCTCCAGATGCTGGTCCCAATGATTGGATGGTTGCTGTCCAAGTCTACATTTCATGTAATCATGCACAACACCTCCCAAGGGAACTCTAGCTGTCTTCCAACTTGGTCAAAGGACCTCAAAAAATTGTCCAGGAGTCTTTGTCCCTTTGCTTTTAAGAAGATTGTCCAGTCCAATCCAGAGAAGGGTCAGTAGCTTGCATTCAGGTCTGCCTCAGATGGGATCTCGGTGTGATATGTCCCACTATGTTTTACCCCTCTGGAAAAATCAAACCACCCAAGTGAAAGACAAAATTGCTTTGTCTCTGCCAAACATGACATTAATGTACATAGTGTTGACATATTTTCAGAATATCCCTAAAATATATCAAAAATTGCTAAATTCCTTTTCAGCTATTGTCCCAAGTAAGCAAAACGTTGTCCCAATTAAGCATTTAAATTATGTATTATTAGTTTGGTTTCCATTCTTTGAGAATTGGCCCAATAAAGTGGCTGCCCCAATTAACCGGTAGCCCAATTAAATGGAATTGACTGTATTTATATTCAAATATTTAAAATTTAATGTTCTAATAGTCTATAGTTACTGTATTCTACTTTGGAAGAGTTTGTAACTGATATTCCAAAAATCAGTCACTTGAGGATGGCTTATGCATTAGGCTGAAAACATAGTGTATAAGCAAATAAGTGTGTCTCAGCATCCAAACATATTATTGGCAATTTTAGTAATTATTCTTTCTGCTGAATGTGGGTTTGGTTGCTGATGATGATATTATATAAAAGTACTTTTTGGACATTTTTTCTTGTCATATATTTACTTTTAAAGCTTTGTTTCATTAAAAAAATCCAGCAACAAGTCATGTAATTTTTAACTTCAGATTTTAAGTTTTTGGGATTATTCTTTCAATTCACAAATAACATTTCAAATTATAGTACATATAAAAGAAAAACTGATGCAAGTTTGTCAATTGTTTTTAAAAATTAAGTCTTCAAAATTAATGGGAAAAAATTTTCAAAACTTATGCTTTATTTTCAGTTCTGTTCATTCATTTTATAGCATAAAATATTAAGGTTACAAAGTAATCAATATTCAAAGAATATTGATTACTTTGTAACCTTAACATTTTCAATATTCTTTGAATATTGATTACTTTATAAATAAATAAATAAATAAATAATAATAATAATAGAGTAATACTGCAATACCATATAGCAAGAGATAACTTCTCCATACAATAAATGTTGCATTAAAAATACATTAACATAAGATATTATTAAAGAAGAGATGTGAAGTATAATGAACTAACTGGTTGTTATAATTATAGTAATAATTTTGTTGATGTAATTATTACAACCAATTCATTATTATAATTATCATTCACTCTTAAGTAATCATTAAAATTTTGTTCACAGTTTTTATTCTGTTCATATGCTAAAAATACCTAAAATTTTTGTCTTTGTTTTAAAATATATTTAACATTCTTTTGTTTGCTTATAGCATTCTAGTTTTGAAGAGAAAGGATCAGAAAAATTATCACAAGGAAAAAGTTCACCGCAACAGCAAAATTCAAGTAAAAAAGAGCTTTCAGTAAGTGAATGAAAATAAACTTAAACTTAGCAGTTATCATGTTTAGCCATTATAATCAATTCATTTAATAGAGAATACTTTTAATATATATATAATATGCAATTTTATCTATATCTGATATTTTATTTCTATTTGAAATATTTGATTCTCCTCATTTTTAATATTTATAATTTTATTACAAAATATATATTATTTTCTCTACTAGAATGTGAAGAAATAATATATATTTTGTAATAAAATTATAAATATTAAAAATGAGGAGAATCAGATATTCCAAATAAATAGTAGGGAAATTTTTTTTTATTTTTTCCTATTTATATTTATTTCTGCAGATTATCTCTTTTTATTTCATTTTTCTCTTTTTAAATTTGAATTATGGAATTCATAGTTCTTTGTGATCAGTTACTATTTGCTTTAAGTTTAGTACATGAACACTTATTGTTTAACTTCTAACTCTAACTGTTGATCTTTAGTTGTGAATATAGATATTAGTGTATTTATTATAACTAACTGAAGTATTTCAGTAAATGTCAAATAATGTACCATTTAAAATAATTTATTGATGTTCTTTTATCTAATAAAAATTCATTTTCTACTTGAAATAATAAATGCCATTTGATTTTTTTAGGCTTTAGATAGTCTGGTTATTTCTGCAATTCATCAGTTGTCCATAAAATTACGTACAAGAGCTCGTTGCTTATTAGAAAAAGAAGGGTATGTAATCTATTTTAATTTTTCTACATATTAAATTATTGAAATAAAGATTATTAATGCATTTCTAGTGATAATCATGGCTCAATACTAAAACAATTCATTATTTAATCAGCTGTAACAATCAGCCAAAAATTGATAGATTCTTTTCAATGATAATCTATATATATATATATAAATGGACGTGTGTGTTCCTATATTTCACTTTTCAGCCAAAACTACACATCGCACATGAATGGTGTTATGTGGTAGTAGCCCCAAGTCTCCATTCATGCACTATGGTGGTTGCATCTCGATAGCTATAAGGGTACGGGAGATACGGGGGCTTAAAGTGGTTGACTTCGAAGATTTTCTATTTCGATTTTAAAAATGTTTGAACCGTTTCAAATTCGAATTGGTTCGATTATAGAATGATTGTAAACGTTCCAGAAAATTGATCAAATTGAAAATAGTTTGTTTGACTGGATGTAAAAATTCTCTAATTAGTCTGGAAACGGGGGACCTAATTCTTGCATGTGGGGTTGAAAGTGGTTGACTTCAAAGATGTGTAACAATGGAAGTGTCAACAATGGAAGTGTTGAGTAACAAAGGAAGTGTTAATATAAAGCGGCATGCAAAATTTACAGGTGGTTTTTTGTGTTTTTGCAGGAAATCGAACATATTTTTAGACTCATGTAAAAATTCTCTAATTAGTCTGGAAATGGGGGACCTAATTCTTCCGCTTCTTTTTTTCACCCACTTGCGATACTCAGAAGGATATTTGATCAGTCTTATCTATCGAAGTCAACATTCATTATGATGTTTGGACTTATGTTACAACCTTAGTCAAATGTTTGCCTATTAATGATGGGAAACTGTCAAATGGAGTAAATTATGAAGTGATAAAGAGTCCCAACACCTCATTGATGATGTCTACAAATTTTGAAGTTGTTACCTTATATGGAAAAAAGAGTCAGACTGCTCTGGCCAAGGTAAAGACACATCTCAAACTTAGAACACATTAAGTCAAAGTCACCTGAGATTGTTCTCACGTGGGATGCATATAAAAAGGGGTCGCACCTGATCATTGAGGCGGGCATTCTCCAAGAAGCAACTTGCCCAGCTTCCAGTTTTATTAATTAATTAATTAATTTATGTTAAAATAAAAAATTCCATAATTCTGATTGTCTTTTAACTTGTTTTGGTTTCTTAAAGTGAATTCATTAAAAAATATAGTAGAACTCCAGTTAGAGGTAATATGAACTGATGCTACCTTAGATAAATCCTTTTATCTGAGTGTTTGGTTATGCTTATAATTTTTAATCCAAAATGTCTGCATCAACTATTTATATAGTATCACTTTTAAGTTTTTTCTATACCTTAATGAATTTAATCAAATAAGAACATGAATTTTTACAAAGTTTAAAGATGTGTTATTGTATTAGCTGTATAATGTAAATACAAACAATAGTTTTAAGAATCTCTCATCAAAATACTTTTTATCATTTAACTTATAATTAACAGAAACAAATTAATTTGTAATATGTTATTGTTTTAAACTTTCTTTTATGAATTACAATATAATAGTAGCATATTCACTGGCAGGTTTATCATTTTAGATAATAAGGATTTTCCTGTAACTTTTAGGCAGTCTCAATTCTAATTTAAAGAAACATCTTATTATATGCATAAAATTCTACTGAACATGTTCACTAATGATTAATTTATAAAGTTCAAATTACAATTGTAAGTTAATGCAGTTTTTAAAATTTTTTCTTTATTTTAGGCAAAAATATTCAGAGAAAAGTGATATTCGATTAATGATTGAAGAAGTATTACCTCAGGTTGTGGAGAAGAAATCTAACATACATAATGAAGGAAATCTCACCAGGGATCTTTCAAGCATTTTAAAAAATCTTAAACGTGTTGAGCAGTCTTTGGAAGGTAAGAATTTAAAGAAATTTATGATAAGTTTTCAATTAATAAATGTAATTAAAACTTAAAATGCCAAAATACTTAATAAAATATAATTACTCAGTAGCTATTATTTTTATAAAATTAAGAACTTATTTTTCTTAATGTAGTATTATCATCAAGTCAATAAAAAGTGTAGAAGTTATTACTTTATTTACATGTTACAAGCAATTTTCAGTTGGTTCAAAAATAATCAAAACAATTAACATAACTTTTCCATTTTTCAGTTTTTTTTTGTACTAGTACTTCAGTTTATTCTTATTGCAGACATTTTTAAGATATATGAAGGCATATTATTTTGCATTTTCTTGGAATATTAAACTCTTTTTGAAAATACATCTTTATAAAATTCTTATAATTCATTATTCTAGTAGTAATTAAAATTCAAAAAGCTAAAAAACATTTTCTGTTAAGATATTACAATCTCAGTAATCTGACATAGGACCAGAACAATGTCAGATTAAGGAAATTGTCATATTATTGGAAGTAAGGTGTATTCAGTGGTTTAATTATTCAGAAAGAAATATCATGCAAATAATACAATATATTAAACATTTGTTCAAGTTTGACTCCTGATCAAAATATCTGAGCATACTGCTACCATTGGTAATTAGTGTTGCAAGGTTTGTGGAGGCACAGTATTTTTGGTGGAAAATTTCAGGAGAAAGTATTGTTATAAGATATTGTAAAAAAAAATCAATGTAAATGTATCTTTTGAGTAGTCTAAGATGACAAGCTTAAGCTTGGATTTGGTGTCATACCATATTTAGTGGGAAGATGTTCATAGTAGTAGAAACGGGAGTTTGAACTAGTGTGGAATTTGGTAACATTGCCAATACCCAAGAGCGACTAGTGTTGGATTGCTGGATTACCAAGATTGTACTGGATGAACGGTTCAGGAGTAACCTATAAAAGTGCACTTTTCTAGTTATTAAGTAGAACCTATCAGTAAGAATGCCAGTTTTGGGAAATGATCAAAAGTATCAATTCATGCTCATAGAGATCAGACTAAGTTAGTCAAACGTGTGGTAAATATCTTACACCTGAATTGATGTGAAAGTTATCTGATAAAACAAAGAATAATATTAACCTCTGCCATGATGATGATGATGATTTGCAGCTAAGGAGTCCTGGTGGCATCACTGTCAATGACAACTAGAAGAAGGTAGTCATAATTATTGAGTGGAAACATTGGGTAAGGGACTTTTATAACTCTTTCCACCCTGTGAGCACTAAGAGGCCCTCTTTTAGCATGCCCACAATGGGGTGACTGGATAGTGAGGGACAGGGCTCAAGAAATCTGACAGAACACCCCAAAAAAATTCCTGGGGATTCAATCAATGTTCCCCCTAATTTTTTTTAGTCGATGAGTGGAACATATACAGGTAAGCCTCCTACAACACAGTACCTTTACAACGCGTTTTCATTCCAACGCGGTTGGAAAAATGCGGAAATTTTCTTACAATGCAGTTTATGGTATTTAGAAACGAATTATCTTTCACATAACAGAAAAATCTCAACGGATCACTTAATACGCGCCACAGTTCGATGTACAGAGCTAAATGTCCTCGAAAACAGCTGTTTGTCCATGTTGACGTGTTATTTCCATGAAAGTTTCAGGGAAAGACCGGTTTCTAGACAGATTTGCATCAGTTACCATAAACACTTAAATACAGTGAAAACTGCTTAGGCGACCACCTGCATTCGACGGGCACCTGTCAAAACGGGCAAAAATTTCTGGCACCGAATAGTTTACCCATAGAGTCTTCGTATAAGTTACCTGTATTAAACGACCACCTGTGTAACGCAACCGCGGGCATAGATTTTTGGTCCGAAACAACATACAACACCTGTAATAAGCGACCACTTTCGCGAGTGTATCTGGTCTAAACTATTGTTCGAACCCATCTCAACAACGTTTCCCCCTCCTAATATAATGAATTAGTGTAAACTCTCGTTCGAACTCATCCCGGGCACTTCTCCCACCCTTGAAATTAGGTGCAGGTGTTAATAAATTAGTCTAGCAAGAAAGGAAATTCATTTCAGTTTGTTGGAAAATGTTGGAAAAACGAAAGAAATGCAAAGTGTTGGCGTTAGAAGATCGTGTTAAAATTATCAGAGAAAGTGAAAATGGTTTATCACAACGGCAATTAGTGGCGAAGTTTAACTGGAAAAACGAAATTTACTTTACCGTACACCTACAGTATTTTCCTTAGGGGTTTAAAATATTGTACACGATACAATTAATCGGTTGATCTCATCGTTTGATAAAATTTATTTTATTTATTTATTTATTTTTGAAGCTTATATACAGTACTGTACAGTACATGTGCGATAAATAGTTTCTGTATCAACCTACCTTATTTCCACGATATTTTTAGAAAAATAATATCCAAATAATTTTCACACGCAAAATATTCAAAGAGCAATAAACGCATTAATGCAAAAATCAGTTTTACAGGCAACTTTCCTTTTTCGAATGTAATGAAATCTTATTATGAGAAAAAATAATAAAATCGTTTTATTATTAATTAATAATTTTCTTGTTGTACTTAAGAAAATATTAAATATAAAAAATACAGTATTTTTAAAGTTAAACTAACGAAAACCAAAGTGATATAGAGATAGGACGCGCTTGTATATCGATGACGTAATACACGTAACTGAGGAGCGAACGAGAAGAATCGAGTTGAATTAATTAACTCGAAAAAAAGAAAGCGTGCATTATAATCGAGAATATGCGACTATTGTATTAATCTTTAAAATATTGGTATTAAATCTGTCTTACAAAATCACGACGACTCCCGTAAATCGAGTTATCCGATAAGAATAAAATACAATACTAATATAGTCCTATCGCTGAAAAAATGCGCTTCTTTTTGCTCACCTCGAGTTTTGCTTTTAGTAGAAATGGCTAAAAAGTGCGCAAAATACTACGGAAATACGGTATTACGACACCACCTGTATTGGACGACCACCTGTCTAAAAGACCACTTTTTGAAGGAACCATGGGTGGTCTCCATAGACAAGTTTTACTGTATATTACTGAATTTTCGATAATTTATACTCTTTCAATAGGTGGAAACCGCAAAAATGGTCCAAAATACAGTATAAACTTCTATTGAGTGTATATTTTTAAAAATATAGTGAAGGGAAGTTATTTTTTGTGATTTTTACTGTCCACAAAACTGCTTGAAAAAATTTTAGCCATAACAATGTCGAATGAAAAGAAAGGACCGTCGTTAGAAAGGAAATTTATTAATATATCTCTTCAAACAAAGATAGAAATTTTGGATTGAATTAAAAATCAAGAGCGGATAGCTGATATTGGTAGGCATTTTAATTTAAATGAGTCAACTATTCGGTCGACTAAACAATAGGAAGAAAAGATTAGGAATTCAGTCGCATCCGGATCATCTATTCTTGTGAAAAATGTTGCTCGTCCGACAGCACCTATAATGGAAAAAAAAAAATGGAACAAGCGCTAATATTATGTGTAGAAGATATGAAAAAGAAACGGTTGCCTTTAAATACAAGTGCAGTTAAACCACAAAGCCTTAAAAATATTTGATTATTTAAAACAAATGCGACGGTCGTCTGCTGATGAAACCAGTGTTAAATTCGTGGCTAGTAATGGCTGGTTTGAAAAATTCAAAAAACGCCATTCAAACGGCAATTTTCTCTCTTTTTAGAACCGAATCCCAGTTTTTGTATTAAGTTAGTGTCTCCTATAATGCGATTTCCCACAACGCGGTATTTTCAAAGAACGTATCTACCGTGTTGTAGGAGGCCTACCTGTACTTTGATGAGCATATATATATATATATATATATATATAAAATCTTATTTTTTTCTATAAAAATTAAAATTAATTATAAGTAGAGATTAAAATTCATTTTAAAACATACTTTTATACAAAATATTATCTCTTGTCAGTGATTTAATCTATTTAATTGAAATATAAGTAACAATAATCATGTTGCAGACAGAGTGAGAAATAAGTAATCAAAGTAAATTCAAATTGGTGTGCATGCTCGTACATAAATTCTCGTGCGCAGCAACAATTTGAGCAGTGTGCAGCCGCGCAGGCAAGCATGCGCATCAATTTGAATTGTTGTAATCTAGAGATAAAATCTAGAGATTAAAATTCATTTTAATTTCTAGATTTTAAAATTAATTAATTATATATATGCTCGCAAAATTTTTTTTTGCTCAGAGAAGTATATGTTCCGATCATCTACAAAAAAAATTAGAGGGAACATTGGATTCAATCCCAGATATCCCAGAGAAGTAGGCTGCCACCTTGACTGCTGAGCTGTCCGACTGTTGAGTTGGGTGAGGGTTACCATGATTTACGTGAAATTTAGTGAGATGTCATAATCTTCATTCAAGCAGCTTAAAGTGTTATGAATGAACATTACTGAAGTATTTTGAAAAGACAAAGATACTCATTTTGAGTTATTTAAGTGGCAGAGAAGATGGGTTTTTATGATCTGCAAAATACATGAGTTGTCGTAAGTTAATGAGGAAACAGGTGTACTTCCAACAAACATCTTAAATCCAGTCCATTAATCCAGAAGTGTCTATTTAAATTATATTAAATACTGTATTCAATACAAAGGTCTGCAAAAAGACATTTATGTCTATACATGGCTTGCAAAATAGTAGTTACAACGTGGACCTAAGCTTAATAAACAAGACATCATATTCCCTCTTCAGACAAGTGAGGAAAACATGGACACAATTTAAAAAAAAAAAAATATGATGAACATTAGTGGTTCTTTTACCATAGTAGCAACACAAATTGTTTAAATTATCATTCCTACTATGAATGGTGTCACAGGTTGATATGAAATTACAAGGATTATTTTTACCAGACCAAAAATATCACTCCTATTTCAAAAGATAAGTTCTAATGGATTTTCACAGAAAAGTACGTTATTGGCTTCAAGATGTCCAAGACAGATGTATGTTAATGAGGTGATTCACTTAACTTAAGGATTAAATGTCATCAGTAGGAGCATCATCATAAGAAGCCAAAGTAGCTAATTGTAGTAAGGAAGATCCAGAATTGCTGCTAACTTGGAGCTTTTGACTTTCAGCAAGCATTTTCTACATCAAATTAAATGTAGGTCCCATGTTTCTGGTAGAATTTCATTTCTAAAAGGAGATATGGGAAATGTGTGCTTGGTCTTGTCAAGTTGGTCTCAGATAGAAATTAAGTGATCAGTAGACAAAGGTTGCATCAAAAGTCTCTTAAGTAATGCAAATGGAAAGTTTTTGACCGTGGTTAAGAGCAAGAGTTTGACCACTTTAAGATTGCATTAGCAAGGAAAATCAGACAGATTACAAATCTTGAATGATATTCCACTATATTTGAATTTATTGTGGAAGATGAGAAGATACTGTCCTGAAGTCTGCATATCCTTCTGATAGTGCTGATTTCTTGGTAATGTTGTGTTCAACAGTAAGTATAAAAGTAAAGCTAAGTGAGGTCATGGCTTGTATGGAGTGAATTGCTATTATCAAATTTGAAATGTTGATGCAACAGTCATGATTGATATCAACGAATTACTGTTTTTATAAAAGCACATTGTAAGGAGTAGCTTGAATAAAGTTAATTAAAATAAGTCAAAGTGCATTTTGGATTTCTTTTCTAGAACTTGTATATTATATATCACCAACTTTTTAATTGTTATTTATTACAAATTTAACTTTTACTGGCTGTCCTGTTTGATTTAACCATTAAAAGAGAAAGACAAAGTTTAAACAGTTTCAGAAATTGCAACAAACAAATGTATGAAAATTAAAAGTAACAGAAGATTTGAATATTACAAGATTTATTAGTTTGTGTGTGTCAAATATATAATTTTTAATTATAGCATATTCATTATTCTACTTGTCAATATCATTAATTGATTTATTTCATACTTTTTCAATGTAATAATTTTTTATTGAATATATTCTATATTAAACCTTTTTATTTGCAGTACTATCATCATTAGCTGATTATGATACCCAAATTAAAGGAGAACAAAATCAAACAGAAACACAAAAATTTTTTGTTGTTGATGTATAATTAAGATAATTGTATAAGCAGAATTTTAAGCAACTTGTGAATGTAACATTTGGAAAATATCCAAAAATTGTTGTAATGTCTATATTAATTTGATATTTTGAATGTATATTTAAGAAACTGTATTACTTGTGCACATATTATCAGATGATTTTGCACTCCTGTAAATATGTAAAATTGGTTTGTTAAACAGTACATTATTTTGTGTTTAATGGAATAAATTTTATCTAAATAGAGCAATGTTTGCACCTTTTATCAAGCTAATGCATAAAGTTGTCCATTGATAATTTAATAAATATCAAGCAATTTTAAAAATTTTCTTCAATTATTTTAATGCTTTGTAAATTATTTTGTACTCTATAAATTATCTGTCCATATTTTCAAGAAGGAAATGCTTGTCCTTGGCCATATTTCCCTTCTGAATTATTTCTAATTATTATAAATCATATTATAGAAATATTTAAAAATCTTATCTTAAAAAGCATTGATTATTTCTATAAAAATGAGTCATTAGCATTAGTATATTTTATTTATATTATATAAATTAAAATATAATTATCTTACTTAGGATTGTTACAAACACATGGCAGAAACAGACTGCAAAGTCACAAAACCTGTGCTTCCAAATGAATGTGTGTAAATTTGTATCATTACATTTTAATTTTCAATGCTTTCATATGTAGTTAATTGTGCAATGTACATTTATAAAATTAAGATCCCATATCTTTTGTTATATTTTTATAAGTTGTTATTTATGTTAACCATGTAATGAATTTATGCTAAATACCTGCATCAACTGAAATTAATTGTATAGATTCAATTATATAATATTGTTGCAATTCTTTTGTTATGAGATTTGTGAAAATGTGTATGATTGAATGAATTATATACAGAAAGTTTGTCATAAGCCTCTAATATTGATAAATATTTCTTAAAAAAATATTGATTTTGTTGTTTATAATTATCTAAAATTAATGTTTCTCAGATACATTAATCTACAAGTTGGTCTTTTGAAAAATTCAATGAAAATATTTTTCGTAATCTTAACAAACATTGCAAAATAACTTAACTAGTAAAATTCATAACTTAAGATTTAAAAACAATGATATATATATATATATATATATCATTGTTTTTAGCATATATATATCTGCTTTATACTATAGTACAACTCAAAATAATGAAAACTTTTAGAAACATTTTAATGTATAAACAAAAAAAAATTTGATATTTAGCAAAAAACATCGCTATAAAATATATATTTGGCTTCCTTAATATGTCTGCTTAATTAAAGCAAGCATAATTCTTTTAAAAATACTCAAGTGCCAAGAAAACAAGAATGAATTCTAAAACATCCTGAATTTATAATATTAAAAAATGTAAATTATTTTATACTTAAATTATAATAAATTACTTTAATTTTACAATCACTAAAATTAATTATTATTGTCATTCCAGTAATGAATGGAATAATTACATATACATCTTGTGTACATATGTAAAATTTAACACAAATTAAGTGTACAAATGCTAAATGTCCACACACAATTTTGACAATGCTATTAACAAATGTTTTCTGTTTATGAATCAATGATCCTGTATTTGGAATTTTGTCATATTGATCACAGCATTATATACCACTGGATTACTATCATCAGTTAAAGTTTTTACTATCACATCATGCATTTGTAGAATTTAACAATCTATATCATATGCAATTGAAATGTTAACATATTGTTATGGATTAAATTAAGTATAAAAGAAAATTATTATTTTGAGCAGCCAGGGGCTTGGGGCGATTCCTGATGACCACTTATTCAATAATGAGAGCGGGTTTTACAAGCCTTACCAAGCAGGGAGGTGTGAGCAAGTCGATAGTCTTCTGAATAATTAGACAGGGTGACACAGGTTCAACAAATAACATTTAATATACACTAAATTTCTAACTTTAGATACAAAGGACACGTTACCACTACTTATAGCTAAAGAATTACTTTAATAAAGAACAGAGAGAGAGTTTACAATTTTACATATATTATATCTCAGACCAATGGTTCCTGATCTCGTTGTATATGATGTCAGTGAAATGCTCCTAGATTGGTGGAGTTGACCATTAGTCTTCCTTTCATTCAGGTCAGGATCATCTTGGGGGGAGAGACTGCGATTATGGCAGGAAGGCAATGGACAGAATGGCGGGACAGGTATGATGTCTGCTTGGAGGACCGTGTCCAAGCCCTTTTTATACCTGTTTTCAGGAGAGCTGACTAATGCTATGTACGATTTAACCTGTTCTAAGTTTGATTTGTGTCCAGGTGTTGATTCAGAAATCGAATGCTTCGACAAATTTATTACCTCTTGCTATCTGGTATGATTATTCATTCTACCTCGTAAATTTGATAACAGCTGTCAAACAAACTGAATTAATTGTTGGAGGTGACTAAGGTCAGAGTTTGTCTTGCAACCTTAGCAATAATTGTTACTTTGTATGATCATCTGATCGGCTTTATTGGTTTCAAAATTGGACAAAATAGGAAGTGTGTGGGTTTTGTCATCCTTTCCCCATTTGACCTTTTGATCTCCAATTTTTATGTTGGAAAAAAATAATTCTTAATTTATTTAATTATTATTATTTATAATTATTCTCTTTGTTTTTTCACTTCCCTCTTTGGATGTCACATTATTATTAGTCAATGTCAGTTTACATCTTTTTTTAAAACTATTAAACATTTGAATAAGCAAGTTGTACACCTTCAAAATGCTTCAATACATCTTAAGTTAGCTAAACTTTCATGTAAATCATCAATACATGTTTGTTTAAGTACATTTATTTTCTGTAGAAATTTTATATTTGTTAACAAACTTATAATCTATTCTTCAGTAGCGGAAATAATGATTTGTGTAATTTTCCATTTTTGTAATCATTGCAAATATATAAATATTAATTTATTTAAAAAAAATAAATGCATAAGGAATTTTATATGAAAAAAAAAAATTACATATAGGAAGAACAAATTGCTCTCAATGATCGTTTATCATGTAACTTTAAACTTATATCAAGGGTGTTCCACAAAGTAATAGCAATATTTTTACAGAGGTCTAGGGATTAAAAAAAATGTCGTACAGATAGCTCTTCAAGTGAAATTTTTCAACACTAGAAGTAAGTAAAGTTCAGAGTAGCTATTCCATAAGATGATGTTGAAAAACATCTTATGGAACTTCTAACAAATAAGTACTATGGAAAAGTCAATCTCACATCCCTTCTGTTTCTGTGCTATACTATAGAGCCAAGAAATAAAAGTAAACATTTTTTTTTATTAAAAAATAATTTTTATAACTAACTTTGTAAACTATGAATGCTGAGAAAGTAATGCAAGATCTCTTGCCAGCTTTTTTTTTTATTTTACTAAAAATAAAGGTTCAGAAACATTACAGGAATACAGGGTGTCCATGAACCTGACACATTTGAAACTGTTGTAAAAAATCTACCGCTCAGGAAGGATGTAAAGTAATGCATATTTTATGATGAAAAACTCAGTTTTATTAAAAAAAATCAGTGAACCTCTACACGAGTTCCTTTTGTTACATGTAGAACATTGAGTCTATATTCCATTTCCTGCCATGCTCTTTCAAGCATCTCGGGCATGACAGCAGCCACAGCATTGTGAATGCACACATGAAGATGTTGAAGGTCACAAATTTTGACACCAGTGTAAACCTTGTCCTTGACAAATCCCCAAAAGAAAAAGGCTAAGGGTGTAATATCTGGCGATTGAGGAGACCATGGTATCGGTATCGGTCCTCCACGCCCAATCCAACAATCAGGAAATTGTGTGTCGAGGAAACATCGAACATGCAGGCTCCAATGTGGAGGGGCACCATCCTGCTGGAATCACGGAATTTGTTTCAGCATACCACTATACAACTTGCGCTGCTCTTGTGGAGAAGCCATTTTGTGTTTGACTGCTGCCACGCCACCTACAGTCACTTTGGCGGGTTTTCAAGAATTACCTATACAACTTCCACGGTTTCTCCACCTAATGGAATGCATGACATCTGATTACTGCCTTGCACTTCAATATGGCAGTCGAAACAAATGTGTCAGGTTCATGGTGGACACCCTGTATTTTATCTCCTAAATATTCTATATACCCTGAAAATTAATTACATTTGAAAGATACATTTATTATTAATTTTTGGAATATATACAAATTTATAAAAAATTACGATTGTTCAATACAATAATTCCTTGATATTCAATTAGTATTAAATATGAAATTTTAATTAGATTTAATTAAAAATAATAGAACACAATCACAAGTAATAAGTTTTTACTAAATGTTAATTCAACTAAAAACTAAATTTTGTGCGCAATAATATATGAGTTTAAAAAAAATTCAAAGCACAGTTGATATGTCAGCCGACGTCACAGCAGTGCCCTTGCAACAATCATAATCATTTCAGAAAAAAGCTGGCTTTTTTACATCTTGTATATGCTTATGAATACATATATTTTTTAACATTTAAACATTACATACCAGTATGTTCACTTTCTTGTTTCATCCCCAATAATGGACACTTCTCAAAAATTTACAACTGTGAGATAAATTAGGGGTTGATTACTATCGGTTTAAACCCCTTTGTTCAACGTCAGGAGAGTGAGTCCCACTCTCGCTGTCACTGGATGGCTTGGATTCGAGTGGCAGAGGGGTTGAATAAATCGATAGGGTGATCGGATCTCGTAATAACTAATATCAACACCAGTTAAACAAAACAACAAATTTAATAAGTAATGAAAAAGGGTTAGGTACATATGTGGAGGTTACAATCTACAAGCTAGCTACATAAGTAATATACAGGTAACCCCCGTATAACACGGCAATTCTATAGCACGGATTCACTCTAACACAGTTTGAGAATTGGAAATATCCCCCGTATAACACGGTGCTTTTATAGCATAGGTTCACTCTAACACAGTTCAGGAATTGGGTAAAACCCTCGTATAACATAAAATGTAATAAAGGGTGCGTTCTTTTATACCTCCACGCAAGCATTCTAATTGTTTTTGTGGCTACTTTGAATGCTCTTGAAACAAATAATCCATTTAATGGTTAAATTTTACAATTGGGACCCTTCTTTTGCCTCTAAAAGCTATTTTAGAATTATAGATTCCTCCAAATGATACTATCAATAGTGCGAGCGCCGCCATCTTTCTTTCACCGTCGTTCCTAAATGCCTACAAACAGCAGCGCACTCCCGTTGCAGAGCGACCACTATTAAAGAATGCACCCACAAACTGTTACCAGTTGATGATGCTCATGCTGAGATCATCATATAGAATGAATAATCCTCTGGTAAAATATTTACTTAAATAATAAATAAGTATTTTACCTAAGAAAAAAATGAATACTAAATCCGATTTAATTTAAGATTTAACAACATGTTTTTTAATTTTTGGAACCTAACCCCCTTTTCGCACTAGTTCTTTGTTTTGTATAACATGGATTCCCATAACACGGCAATTTTCTGGAACGTAACTCTCGTGTTATATGGGGGTTACCTGTACCGAGAGAGAGAGTTTACATGTTAAGTCTATATTGGATACCTCTTAAATAGTCTGATGTCCTTCTGATCCTGGTTATATGAAAGTCGGTGCAACGATTGTGGATCTTCTCGGGAGGAGAAATGTTCACAGAGATGAGTAATGGCAGGTTTTAGTCACCTGTTACTATGGTGGAGTCTGCCCGAAGATCGGGTGCACACTCTTTTTATCCTCACTGGAGTGGGAAAAAATCAGGTGACTTCTTTTTGGGTGGTCCTAAGTTTGAGATGCGTCATCGATTCAGCTGATGAGGACCGCAAGAATTTGGCAACCTGGCTGGTTTGTTGACACTTTCTGCCAGGTGCTGCGACTCTTATTACAATATAATTTAAACAAATTCA